GTTTCCTGGAATGGGAACATGTATAGAGGTCTGATTGATTGTTTTTTACGGTATTTAGATGGAATGAATACCTGTAGTGACATGTAAAATAAATACATTTGTACTAATACCTGACATAACACATTTCAAATGGTACAGATGGTACCCAAATGTGCCCAAGGCCAGTTAAAAGATTCCGCCTTAATATGTCTCTACTAAAACCTCTCCAACTTTGCTCTGCTTCACTCTATAAGCATCAGTCTGTGCACAGGTTATGATCAGCTGTTGTGATATGGTTTGCTCGAGGTTTTGTGCTGCAACTGCTTCATTCCAAATGGATATTCACTCTAAAATTGTACAGCTTTGTCAGGCAGCAAATTCGATTTTTAATTTATGCAGCATTCCATCTTCATTTGCAAATACCCGGTAACATATTGATACTTCCACCTCTGCAGAAATCTCACAAGAGTAACTTTTATTATGACACCAAGATCATACAAATATACCTGAAAATATATACCTGGCCAGAGTTAGTGGCCTAGGTGTCAACTGAGCACTCCAACCTGAATACGTGCAACCTCGTCTAAGTTAAGCATTTTGTGTGGGCAGAAACAAGTCACTGCCAGGTCAGAGCGGATAGGACAGTCATACCTTTAACCTCAAGTGTGAAATCAGATTTTGATCAACTAACTTTTTGAGCAATGTTATTTTACAAATTTGAACTACTCGCAGTATATACAGGGTGGGGGATTTTTTTTTACCATGGAATTTTCCACACAAAGAAACCAGTGACGGAAATGATTCATGTACATGAATTGAAATAGGTCATGATCACAGACCACAACAGCTTACGATTTTCACATGTTTACATTTGCATTGTTTATAATAATAATAAACTTAATTTGTATAGGACATAAAGCACATATAACCCTACTCACCAAAAGAAAAAAGCAATCCAATTTCTTTCAACATAATTATTATACACATTTTTGTAATGCATTTTGGCTACTTCTGCATTGAGACAGGCAAAAATAGGATTTTTTTTTTACTTTATGTGACAGAATTATACATCTACCTCAACTTCACAACAATGTCAATTGATGCAATTGATGCACAGCTGCAGCAAATGGTTCGGGAGCATAAGGCTGGCCTTGGCTGATTCTGGTCTAAAGGGCAGATGTGACGGTTGTTCAGTTTGATGAGAGTCCGGGTGGGTTTGGCAGGCCACCAGAGACAGTTAATCTGTCATTCTGACAAAGGTAAAAACAATATCTACATTTCAATAGGCAACAGTATACAGTCAAAATGATGAGCTCAGAGGTGATGAAGGTGATGATGAGTATTATTGGTCTTATCTAATGCTGTGACTGCTCCCGGATACCGATAAGGTCCTCCATACATTTCTAATGAAACACTGAAAATGAGAAGTGCAATGAGTTTTCAACCGCAACTTATCCGTATATTCATATTGCCATTTTGCACTTAAGCCACTAACTGCCACCAAACTATGTGAGGAACATATCTACAAGACCAAAAGTTCACAGCCAAGTTAGCTGCTCTATGATGCTAATGTCATGCTCACAGCTCACATTCTAACATGCTGATATTTAGCAGGTTATGTTTATCATGCACACTATTTTAATTTAGTTAGCATGCTAACATATGGTATTTAGTATTGAATGCAAAGCCAAGCTGAGGCTGATGGGAATACCATTAACAACAAATTAACATTTTAACCTGGCCTCCCGAACAAAAGTTAAGGGATCACCAAAGTTACAATTCATCTAATAGTCAAAACATTTTACTCCGAACCACAAATGTCAACCTCATGCTGGACAGTAGAAAAAAAGTCAGGGGATCACGGAAGTCATTAGGATTTATTGACTGGGGACCATGAATGTTTGTAAAAATCTGATGTCAATCCAGCAAAGAGAAGAGGTATGTCAGTGGTGACCAACACAGAGCCATGCTGCAAGCGTGACTAAAAATAAAGAGTTACAAAAGGCATCTTGGTAAATTTAGTCCATTGTTAAGATTGAATATTAATCGTCATCACAATAATAAATATAATTATATTTAATATTGTGATATAGTTTGTCATGGAATCCTCAATCAACGTTGAGCCCTGTCATATTCATTTACTTGAACAGGTTTTAGTTAAATTCTAGAAAGGAATAAACAGCGGATGCGGTAAGAAACTACGCACATTTCCTTTTAAACTCTCCTTTCATCTTGCACCGACTCAAATTTCCCTTGATTCAAGACCCGTTTCAGAGGAAGTCCCCATCTTGGCAAGAAGTGCTCATTTGTGGTCTTTCTTAACCTCCGTGTCCCACAATGCAAAGGTAGCCTACAGTAGAAACACACACACACACATACATACACAGAGTGCAAAAGCAGTGCTGTATCCGGTCCAAACCAGTTTTTGTGAGCTGTGAGATTTGACTTGCAGCATGCAGACAAAAAAAAGAACAACAGCATAAATGCATTAACCTGGTTTTGAGCACTAATTCTTCCCAATGAGCAGCCTTGAGCAAAAGGTCTATGACTATGCACAAGCGATCATGGCAAAAGGTACTGAACTAAAGGGAGTGGATAGAATAATGGAAACACTTCAACACATTTCAAATCAACAAGTGGAATAAGTGGAATATTACACATTTATATTTTTGCACTTCAAGAAGCAAAGTCACCAATTTGCACTTCACAGCTTCAGCTACATGCACAATGAGGCATTTGCAAGCAAGGGCTAACAGTTTTTTTTTGTATAATATAATTCACATGTAGAACTGATCCAGCATAACCCTCAAGCTGATACACTTTCCCCTGTAACCTTTGTGTGAACTCTGGTGTGGCCATGCTCTCTGAATTGATTGACAATTGTTCAGTCCTGTTTTATCATCATTTAGATATGTACACTGTTGACTTGCATGCATTGTACACCCGCACATAAACAGATGAGAATAACTGATGTATAAGTACACATTTATAAAGAGATAAAATCTACACACACACAGGAAGATACACACAACCACAACCTACGCGCATGCATACTCTACGTGAGTTTTAGCAGCAATATCCCCAAATGGACTTTTGGATAGTTGGAAATCAATTTCCCCCACATGGTTCAACTTGTGGTCATGTCACTTGACCACTGCACTGCGTCATTTTAGCTTCATGCAGACTCAAGAAACACAAATTAAATATGTATACTTGAATGATAAAATACGAAGCACTACCGAAAAAAATTACAAATTTAGGGCAACAATTTTTGAAATATGGTCGTTGTCATTCCAATCAATTTCAGTGAATTTCACTTTTCTAATTAAAGATAAGTTAGTCTGTCTTTACAGCAAACTATGATTTTATATGGTTCTAACACAGCTGATATGATTATGGTATGATGTCTTTATTGAGAAAAAGATGTATAACAGGTCTTTCCTTTGTGGAAATTCAGGCTTTAAAGTTTCCCTGTGGAGTTTTCTTTCAAACAAAAGTTATACGTTCACTGTTACTCACCAAAACAGATACTGTGTATCTTTCAGGTCCAGCCACAGAACACGGAACAGCATACGAATACGGAATTCAAGTTCCGAATACGAGTTCCAAATACGGAATACGATTTCCGAATACGGAATTCGGAACACGAAACGGAACAGGTAACGGAACACGGAATAGAATATGGATCAGAACACGGAACAGAATACGGATCGGAACACGGAACACGGAACAGAATACGGATCGGAACACGGAACGTGTTGTCCTTCCTCATAAAACATAGATTTCAAATCATGAATTGTTAACATTCATGTTACTTGCCAGCTATCTTCTTAACTGCCTTTGAAGGCATATTGCAAAACTTTTTTGTGCGTTAACTGTTAGCTGTCAGCGAAAAGTGTGAAACCGACAGCGTGAATGTGTATCTGTGCAGGGATGACATATTTTTCTAGTCCATCCCCGGAAGTAAGCATTGACAAAAAGCTAATGGAATTTTTCCATTGGATTTTGGATTAAATCATCCATCCATCCATCCATCCATCCATTTTCCACCGCTTATCCGGGGTCGGGTCGCGGTGGCAGCAGGTCAAGCAGGCCGACCCAGACCTCCCTCTTACTGGCAACATGTTCCAGCTCATTCTGGGGGATCCCGAGGCGTTCCCAGGCCAGCTGGGAGATGTAATCTCTCCAGCGTGTTCTGGGTCTTCCCCGGGGTCTCTTCCCAGTTGGACGTGCCTGGAAAACCTCCAGTGGGAGGCGTCCAGGAGGCATCCTAATTAGATACCCGAACCACCTCAGCTGACTCCTTTCGACGCGAAGGAGTAGCGGCTCGACTCCAAGCTCCCTCCTGATGACCGAGCTCCTTACCCTATCTCTAAGGCTGAGCTCGGCCACCCTACGGAGGAAGCTCATTTCGGCTGCTTGTAGCCGCGACCTTGTCCTTTCGGTCACGACCCAGAGTTCGTGACCATAGGTGAGGGTAGGAACGTAGACCGAGTGGTAAATTGAGAGCTTTGCCTTCCGGCTCAGCTCCCTCTTCACCAAGACGGTCCGGTGCAGCGCCTGCTTTACTGCTGCAGCCGCACCGATCCGCCTGTCGATCTCCCGCTCCATCTTACCCTCACTCGTGAACAAGACCCCGAGATACTTGAACTCCTTCGCTTGAGGTAGGCACTCCGTCCCCACCTGGAGGGAGCAATCCACCAGTTTCCGGCAGAGAACCATGGCCTCAGATTTGGAGGTGCTAACTCTCATCCCCGCCGCTTCACACTCGGCTGCAAACCGCCCCAGTGAATGCTGGAGGTCACGATCCGAGGAGGCTAACAGGACCACATCATCTGCAAACAGCAGAGAGGCGATCCCGAGACCCCCGAACCTGACGTTCTCCGCCCCCAGGCTGCGCCTAGATATCCTGTCCATGAAAATCACGAACAGGACCGGTGACAAAGGGCAGCCCTGGCGGAGGCCAACACCCACCGGGAACGTGTCTGACTTATTGCCGAGAATGCGGACACAGCTCCTACTGCAGTCGTACACAGACCGGATCGCCCGTTGTAACGGGTCCGGCACCCCATACTCCCACAGCACCCCCCACAAGACCCCCCGAGGGACCCGGTCGAAAGCCTTCTCCAAGTCCACAAAGCACATGTAGACTGGTTGGGCAAACTCCCAGAACCCCTCCAGTAGTCTTGCGAGGGTAAAGAGCTGGTCCACTGTTCCACGGCCGGGACGGAATCCGCACTGCTCCTCTTGAATCTGAGGTTCGACAAGCGGTCGGAGCCTCCTTTCCAGCACCCTGGCATAAGCCTTCCCCGGGAGGCTGAGTAGTGTGATTACCGGGGATTAAATCATATTAAAACATATTTCCAAGCTTTGGGACTCATTCCTACAGCAAATGCATCGTCCAAATGCTCACACGAAAGAAAAAAAAAGAAAAAAGTTCCACCGTGGTCGTACTGATTGAGGCTACTACGTTCAACTTTGGGCTTTTAAGATATAATAATTTGGTCAGTCTCTACAATAACCAGAATCAAACAAGTAACAACGTAATGGATTGCATTGCTCCATAGGGACCATTCCATTTTAATAAGTTGCCAGTGTAAAAGGAAAAATGTTCACTGTCATAAAATGTTGATGGTTATGTTGTAAATAGGTTTGATATTGTTCAAGCCAACTGTGTCCCTGCGAAATGTTTGTGGTAAGAAAATGGTCTTTGTGGCAAAAGCACATATGGACATATGAAGCATCTTAAATTGCTATCAAACTACACAATGGCCTCAATCTTTGCATTTATCTACTAGTGATAGTCACCCTGGATATTGGATTTCTCCAAAGTCAACATACCGTTTCAATTTACTCATACACAACTGTTGCAGAGAGTGTTGCAGAGTTACACATACTTGCAACTCTAGACCACAGAGTGGCAAGGCTTGCATCGGCAACAAATTGTCAATCGTCAAATCGTCAAATGCATTTACATTCCAGGCTCAGAAACGTTTGCAGGAGTAAATAAGACCAGCCTGTGGAGTGATGCTTGTTTGAGTACGTGCCTGCACGCCTCATTACTGTGTTTGTGTCCCAGTAAGTGTGTGTTTACTGAACCTAGAGAAATGAGCATGCTGGCTTGTGGAGGATTTTCCCATGTATGGTTGGAAGCATGCAGGGAAAGAGAGGATTTACAAGAATTGGAGGAGAGTTAACACAACAATGGCTCTGCCATAACTGCCACAACCAACTGCCAAGAAAATGACAGAGGCGTGTTGTGTGTGTCTGTGTGTGTGTGTGTGTGTGTGTGTGTGTGTGTGTGGGTGTGAGCATGTCTACTGTATACACGCATCCTCAATAAGAGAACGCCTCAAAAGATTCAAAAATATTTGAGCTGTACTCATACAAACCATTATGTCTGAATATTTGTGCAGTTTGCATCAAAATATGGTGATGTGAATTGTTTATTGTTTGTATTTTTTCAACAAAGAATCTTAACTAAAATAAGAAAAGGATGCCTTGCACAGCCATGGTAACTCATGGGTCAACACTCGAAATAGAAAGGTAAAATTACAGTCACACGTATGTGTGCGTGTCTACGTTGCACAGCAGAAAATTGCATTGACCAGAGAGCCAGTGACCGGACCAATCAACGTCCTGGAACGAGATACTGGCAGCTACATTGATGGTTTAGGTGTGTAGGAGACAACGTGGAGAAGCTGCTGTTTGGTGGCTCCAAAAGAGGTTAGCGTAGATGCTACAATAGCATCAGTTATATCAGAACAGGAAAGTATTTCTTCTAAAAAAAGCTTACTGCTAACTGCTTATTGAGGGTCTATCTCCCCCCCACTGCTGCATGCTCTACTCACAGCAGAGCAGCCTCCTGGCGCTGGGTAGGACGAGGTTCTGAATCTTTTTTCTGGCACTTTGGATTTAATTCAATAGACAAGTCAAAACACACATGTACAACGATTGTATTATTGACAAACCCTCGGGGCCGCTCTGGTTCTTAATTCTCCAGACTGAGGGCAGACTAACGCTGTAGTACCTGCATTTTGCATGTTTTAAACTAAAATTCTAATTTCTTTTATCAAATTTTTGTGTTTATTATTTTTTTATTCTTGTGTGGATCTTATTCTTGCATGACAGGAAATACTGCAAACCATGCAGGTGGTGCTATCTTAAGTGGGAACTAGAATAGAGACTTCTGCTGTCATGGAAAGCAGTGGGGTGACTTTTGAAACACAGAAGATGAAAGACGCAAGAAACTACACCCTTTTCTCGTGTGAACTTTTCATCCAACCATGCACGCTGGCATCATGACTGCTATTAACATGGCATTTAAAAATCCCACAGTCTTCCTAACACAGAGCATTGGACAGACTTAAGCTGAGGACAAAAGAGGAACTCAAAACCTAACCGCCAATTTATGAAATACATAAGAAATAAAAAAATCTCAGCAGTGATCTTTTCTGCGCAGACCTGAATGGGTCATCGGGTAACAGTGTTGAGTTCTTCTACATATATACACATGTGCACATGTGTAGGGCTGACACGTATGCATGCATCAGGTGTGCATATTTGTGTGTGGGCACATGCATGTCGGCTGGTGTTTGCGCATATGCATTTATATATATATATATATATACTGTCTTTTTAAGTGTGTTTATCTGTGCGCCTGTGTGTTTGCTTATCGATCTTGTCTTGTGTGTCAGACCGCACATCGTCTCCAATTGATCTCTTCCATCCTACTTCTCTTGTGTAAGAGCATCATGACTAATTGTTGACCCCAGAGTGTTCCTATTGTACTCTCCTGACCTGATATTTGAACATGAACAAACCTGTGTTTGAGCACTGCAACCATTATCATTTGTTAATTTAGCAAAATGCAGACCTGTCATTGTTATGAAAGTATCTTTGAAGAAGATGCTGTATATACTTTTACTGTATATATCTCTCGACTTAATAGAACACCATTTTTACAGCGAAGACTGTAGAAAGCTTTGGTCATAAAACTGAAGATATTTGGATGAAACACCCTCAAAGCAGCTCTCACAATAGGATTACTGCTTCAACAGCTCAGCATGTTCAGATGAACTGGCCCATTGAGTTTTTTGTTTTTGTTTTAATGACTACAGATAGAAGAAAAAGACAACTCTGTGATTCTGTTTGCGCATTAGCGTACAGAGATAATAGCCAACACTAGAAACTGATCAAGTCTGAATGCCTTGTATTGAATATTGATCATTTATTAATGTTCAACACTGCCATTGAGGTTTGCTGCTTTGATTAAATCTTGATTTGAGGGCTTGAGCTTTTGAATAATTCCGATATAGTGGAGACTGTTAAGATAAAGGACTCAAACGATAGATTACACCAGTGTTTATGTAGCCACCCGTGTCATTGCCTGCAGCCAACAAAATAAACTCAGACAACCACATATATAAATACAGCATGAACATGAACAGCAGTTCTCTTCCACTGAATGAAGCCAACACTCCCCGTCAATACTCATCATCAAAATTCCTCATGTTGCATAATACCAGAAACTTCCAAATCTAGTCACAGAGTGCTCTGAGTATGTCTTTGATGCAGACCACAGCTATTGTACTATTTACATTTCCTCTGGAGAACCGACATTTTAGACTGGCCAAACAAACTGCCAAACAACTTCCCTTTTTGTATTGTTCAAGAGAAACCTGAGACACAGGCAGTTACAAAAAAAAAAAAAACAGGCTGCAGGAGAAAGGACAAAAAGAGAAAGTGAGAGAGAGAGAGAAATGAATGTGATGTGATGCAGTGGTGAAAAGAAGTATTCAGATATTTTAAGTAAAAGTCAATATCACAATGTAAAATACTGCAATTAAATGTCTTGCATTCAAATTAATATTTAAAGGTATAGTTTGACATTTGGGGAAACACATACGTACATTTGCTTTCTTGTCAACAGTAAGATGAGACGATCAATACCCCTCTCCTGTCTGTATAACTATGAAGGTCCAGCCAACAGCCAGTTAGTGGATTCAGCAGAAGACGTCTAGCATGACTCAGTCCAAGGTAAGCACCCACATCTTTTAGCTCACAATTTAACATGTAAACTAATAATATAAGTATTGACATTTAAGTATCAAAAGTAAAGCACTCATTATTCAGTGAGGCATCACTGCCATATTATTATATATTATTTGAATGTTTTTAATGATGTATTTACATGAAGGGAGCATTTTAATTTCGGTTAAATGTATCTGATTAAGGTGGAACAAGTTTTAACTACTCTACTGTAAAACAATGCATTGTATCTTATATGCTTATTAGAGGTCTTTAAGAATCGGACTCTGGAAAGTAGTCAGTAGCTCAAGCAGTAAGATGAATATAGCGGTGTTTAAAAGTGCAATATTTTGACTGAAATGTAATGGAGTTGCAGATACGCAAGGAAAATACAACTATGGTTCCTTAGAATTGACTTACATGTTAATGTAATTAGTTTACTTTTCACCTCTGATGAGATGGGAAGAGATACATAGTATCTGGAAAGACTGAGAGACAGGAAGGCACAATGAAAAGACAACCGAACTGACAGACAAACAGGCAGGCTTTAAACTTTCTGACAAGCCACCTCATTCGGTCACTGAGCCACTTGACGCAGTAACTCCATAAACATGAGCCAGATTTAAGGACAGAGACCCTGAGCAAGACAAGTTAATGTGTCACCAACTTTGGCTTCCAGGCTCCATTATGAAATCCTCATGTGAATAGCTGCAGGTCATGTAAAGCTGTCAAGGGAGAAAGAGAGGGTTTAAGGTCAATGGGGCTTATCTCAGCAATTGATCCATTGGTTTAAAATGCTGCCGATGGTGGCGACTCAGAGTGGACAGGCCGCTTCAGCATTGAGCCACCAAACATTCTACTCCCTCCTTCTCCTTACAGTTTACCCTCATCTTCAATCAGCCATGGGAGTTGCCTACAGCGTCGGAGAGTAAGTAAAACGAATCAAGCGAACTGTAAACATTGCTATGCTGGGTCCTGAATATGGTGGTGTTGTCTGGAGTTTAATCAGACAGTACTTTGGATTGCTTGTTTCAATACATTTGAACAAGATATGGGAGCTTCGAATGGCAGACCATTTAATTACGTGAAGATTTAAAATCGTGCATTGGATATAAACTTTTTTTTACAGTCATAGTGACTAGTGTTATTGGTGTTGTATTTATTAATACATGTGGAAAGGAAGGAAGGGGGAGGTTTTTTTTTTAGCCATTTCATGGTAAAGGAGGTTGCTGCAGTGCAGATTGACACTCTATTGAGTTGGAGATTGTGTGTGAGTGAGTGACAGGAAGAGAGATAAGTAGATGAAGAGAAAGAAAGAGACTTGATTGAGGTTAAACATCCAGAGAGTCAAAGTAGGTTCATACTATAAATTGTTGTATACTGTAACTGCTTTTTTCAATTTTTTAAATGGACTTCCAGGATTCCAGCCACGAATTTCCCAGAATAGGCTCTCTTTTGGAAAACCATAGAAGGTGGCAGAATCCAACATAAATAACTCCAAAAAAGGGCTTCCTGATTTTCACTTCCTGATTTTCATATCCTCAGCACAGCATGATTAATACTCAAAGCATTCAAAGCATGCTCCACTTTCCCGCTAAACATGTCCAGGCACGACCTAAACCATAATAGAGTATTGTGAGTGATGGCATTTGCTCAACTTCCAATTTCTTTTTTCTCTCATGGGTAATAGAGGTTGGGCCAAATGTCATAAATGCTTTAAAGTTGCAGCAACACTACACGCTTATTTCAAGTCAAAGATGTATTTACTGTACTGCAGCTAAAATGAAACACACAGTGATTCTGCTTTAGTTCAATCATTTTCTGATGACGTTATGTCATATAACTACATAGTGATGTTTGACGATAGCAGCCCTTTGCTTTTCATCTTAAAAAGTATTAATTTTAGTCATGGCAAACCACGGGAATAAACACAAAATCTGTTACAATATATGATGATTATCTATTAGTAAAAATGTTCTCCTAATGCTTCTACAGGGTCGACCACCTCTACACCTTCTTCGTACAGTGGTCACCAAAAATCTACACGAAGGGCAACAAGAAGCACCGCCACTCCCGCTACCTCATCAGAGAGAAACATCAGAACTGCTATCTGGTAGTGGAGAAGAACAAGGTGGCTGTGATCAACAGGCTCCTCAGTAACCCTGTCAACCCCACTAAAAACTGGGAGGTAAGGTTTGCACAAACACACACAGAGACACACACACACACATGCACGATCAAGGATGAAAAGAAAAGCCCACTGTGGGTCTTCAACAGCAGCATAATATCTGGGAAAGACAATAAACATAGTGTAAACATTAACTTAACATTTGTCAAGCATTAGTTTACAAAAATCATCAACCCCGACTTACAGTAACTGAGGCACCAGAGTGCTTGGCAGTTCTCCAAGAGATTGTGGGAAATCCCACAGTCTCCATATATGGACATCCTATCTGTAGCTCCCTTCCATTATCCCAAAGCAGCCTTCACTTTCCTGTTACAGAGAAAAGGAACTGTTCAATATCAGAGCTAACCAATGAGAAGCCCCTCCACTTAGGTTTCAAACCAATAGCATTCAGAGACAAAAGTGAAACTAACCCAGAGGAGCATAAAACTTACATGCTGCCAGTTTCGAGTAACAGACATGTGGTACTGCAGAGCGCAGAGCTTGACACAGAAATCAGAAACTATGAAGCTACTGCCAGAAAATGTCAAGGTGCTTTATTTTGCCAGTGACTGCGTGGAGCCGTATGTTGAGGTAGGCCTGCTGTTATCTTTTTAGGAGGTGTTGTGCATTTATGGGGTAAAATATACTTTACTTTGGGGGTAAGAAATGTTAGTCATCATCCATCCCTCCTAGCCAGCTTGTCATCCAGCAATCCAGTAATGAATTCACCTGTGATGAAGCTGTGATAACCAGTATCTACTAGTGAAATTCAAATTTCATGTGTGCCCTGTCTAAATGAGTTATTCAACCACAAGTTGCTGTACCTAATGTAGAGGAAATTTTCATTTTGGAACATCTCTTGTCTTCCACCAGATTATCACAGTAAAGGACTTCAAGTGGCGTCGGAGTCTGTGTAGCTCGAGGGATTATGAAACAAAAGAGACTGAGTACCAGGAGGAGGTCGAAGATGTTCTCCCTGTCTTGAACAACCACAGCCAGCTGCTGGATAACCGACACCTGGAGCGAGTAAGTGTGCACGTACACACACTCACACACACACACACATTGCTTTTTATCTTTTGATAGAAGTCTTAAATTGTATGACTTCTGTGTTTTGTAAATTCTTCGAGTTTATTATTGTATCGAGTTTTGAAATTCCGGTATGTGACAACACTAATATAATAATAATAATATAAAAATGTATACCTTTCAGTCACACATCTTTTGATTAACATCTCCTTTTCCCATCAGATTGCTGCCCACATGCCAGCAAAGACCCAGGGCTATCCATGGCAACTAGTCTACAGCACAGCTGTTCACGGGAGCAGCCTGAAGACTCTGTACAGGAATATGGCTGGCCTAGACAGCCCTGTGCTGCTGGTCATCAAAGACATGCACAAAAAGGTTTGCATCTTTATCTGAACTCTCCAAGGCGTTTCTGTAAACAAATGTAGTCAAACTGATTGACAGTGATTAATAGTATATCTGTGGGTACTCTTTAAATAACCCAATGTCTTGGTCTTTCATCAGGTGTTTGGGGCTTTTTCTTCTGATCCATTCAAAGTCAGTAAATACTGCTACGGCACAGGAGAAACCTTCCTGTTCACCTTCAACCCTGACTTCCAGGTACGGAGGGGGGGTTTCTTATTGATGCAAAAATAGTATCTACCAGCAAGTCTGAGAACTGATGTATATATATTACAAGTCAAGTTTGCAATCATCTGAGAGCGATTTTTTTCTGAGGAACTAAACACAATCTCAGGAAAGAGGATTAAAAAAAAACATTTTTGTGTTCGAATAAAATTTTGAGGACATGGGTTATTAACACAATATCATTATATGCGTATTATTAACAAGATATCAATATTTCAATTGTATGTTATCGTCAATACCGGTATATCGGCATAGTTTGAGTGCAAGTGTCTCATGTCTTTCATTTGGCATTTTCCCAGGCATATAGGTGGAGCGGTGAGAACTCCTACTTTGTGAGTGGAAACCTGGAATCTCTGCAGATTGGTGGAGGAGGGTAAGTTATGTGGTTATTTATTTCCCCTAAAATATAGACATGCTCACCCAAGGAAAAGACAGCAATTAAGTCTGACATTGTCATGAAGAAATAAAAAGCAAGACCATAATGTAATTACTTTATCTGGTATCTGAGAGCATAACACATTTACAACTTTCAAAAGATTTGATATTTAAGTACTTTTTTTTCTTTTTCTTTGTCTGTAGGGGCGGATTTGGCCTGTGGCTGGATGCTGATCTGTACCGTGGCTCAAGCTTCTCCTGTCCCACATTCCAAAACAAGTCTCTCTCCACACAAGAGGACTTCAGTGTACTAGACCTCGAAGTCTGGACTGTGCAGAACTGAGGGCAGAACATCTGAACAGACGAGCTAAAGTAGAACCTACTATCCTGTCTGGAGTTACAAAACATCAAGACTTCAAGGGGTATGTGTGGTTTTAGCCACTACAAAGTCTGATAGAGTAGCTGCTATCGTCTATGCACCTGATCCAGATAAACCCACATCCAGTAGCAGAATCCTGCTCTAGCAGTTCTTGGGTTGGACTTTCCGTTTATGCTGGTTTGATCTGTGCCTATAAAAGACAACTGATCAAATGAAAGCGTCAGGGTCCTGCTGCATTAAACTACTGGCTATCCATCAGTAGCACTATGCTAAGACCAGTTAATAACTGGACTCTGATGCTTTAAGCACTCCATACCAACTCTGTTGTGGAGAGCATTATAATGCAAAGTTCACAGTAACACTGTTGACTAAAAAGATTGTAACTATTGTAAGCACATTCAGGATTTAAGGAAAATATTTTCCAATTTCTGTCTAACAGCCATGTATATTTAAGAAAATGTTTTTTTACAGTATGTATCTCTGTGTGTAAGTGTGCATGATAGGGATGAAACATACTTGGCACATAAAGGGCATTTATGGTAAAACCACTGTAACATTATCGGACCCACAATGACCTATCTGGATTCTAATTGTGCTTGTTTTTTTCTAACATGAGGTCTGGTTTTAATTTTCTCCATTTGAAAACTACTGCAGCACATGAAGACCTTTCCACTCAGGTTGAAAAACAGAAGTGTAGAGCTGCACTGTAAACAATGTATGATATTTTATGTGTGTGGTTTGTGGAAGAAGAGACCTCAACTGTTAACTGTCACTTCTATTTTTGGAAAGTGATCGAGACACCTGCCTGCGTATTTGCACAAATAGGAAATATTAAGGAAATTACTTTTACCATCTATATACATCTAAATGTATGTTTAAGAAAATCTTAACAGGAAAGCAAAGCCAATGTTATTGTTGTTTGTTTCACTTTTTGTTTGTTTGTGTGTATATCAGTGTCTGCCAGGCGGTGCTGGCACTGCCAATGCTGTTTTGTGGAACCACATTAGAACGTTGTCTTTCCTGGTGACAGACAATATTTTCAGAGCAATCATATTTTATTATAAATAAACCATTAAAACAACATCCCCTTTTCCACTGAGTAAGCTGTTTTTTTCATGCTACAAATAACAAAATAGAAGTAGACTCATGTTCGAATATGATATTTGTGTGACCTTGTACACTAGCTGATGCTACTGTATTTTTTCTATAATATTGCATATAGCTACACAAACAGGCATATGATAGAATAAATGGAACAAAACGCAAAATACATTCGCCCATTGAATATTCACTCAAAAAGAGGAAACAATAGAGTAGAACAGAAAAATTACAATAAAGTAAACTTGCAGACTCCCAGACAATAGGCCGCTGTACCTTTAGGAACTTCAGGCAGCTGAAAAATGCTTCCCCATACATCAGTGACTACCTGTTTAATGACTTGCACACAGACATTAGAACCAAACCACCTCAATAAAGATATCGAGACAAAGAAAATCAGAAAAAAAAGAGTAGGTGGTGCACCCGTAACATCATGCACTGAGTTAGAGGCAGAGTATACTCTGGACAGGCTGCCAGTCTAGATACAGGCATGAATGGGTTACTAAATGAGTCAACGGGCACCCTTACCCTGAGCTCAACACACTGCAAATTAAAAAAACAAAAAGCAAATAGACACAAGCAAATTAAGAAAAATCGGCATAATACATGATAATGTATATACATTATCAAAAAAATATTTATGAAAAGTGTTTAGGCTATTTCTATTTCATTGGCTTCAGAAATCAGTATCAGTCATTTTTAAGGTAGACCTACTCTGCCTTTAACTGGACCTATGTACTGAACCAGAAAGTCACAGGAACGACTGTGTTGGCTTTTACAGAGTCATCAGCTCTCATTACAACGTGACCAAAAAAAAGATTCAAGTTATGGAGAAGACAAATACTATGCACTTAATGTACAAAATATGAAGGGCAGCTGATGTTTTCATGAAGCATGCCGGAAAAGGGGAATGAAAAACTTCTAAAATCAAGTAAAATGAGTAATCAAATATATGTTGAACCACATCGCTCCCTGGTGGCAGTTTTATCCATAGACTATATAAGAAGATTTGATCCCTTCTTACAATATAGATCGACAATCTGTTGGTTTCCCCTTGTGCGCTCGATGGTCTCTAGGATCGACTGTGCAGGTCTAGATTGTAAAACCTACTCAACAATGGCAGCAGTCGAGGCTACACAACCTGCTCTGGCTGATGTTTCCAAAACCAGCAGCGAAGGATATGAGAAGAAATGTATTTTCTGCAAGATTGTAAACAACGAAATGGGCACGGATCTTCTCCACTGTGTGAGAATATTGCAATGATTAAATAATATTGAGTGCAAGGCTAGCTAGCTGTAGCCTTTGTAAACAGCTATGTTCAGAAGCAAGTTCAATTGGCTCTGTAACAAGTGACGTTGTGAAGAAGTAGCTAGATTTAATGTTTGATTTTCGTTGAGACTAACGTTATGCAAGTTAACTGTACAGTAATTTAAATAACTTTTTGTTTTATTTGGTACTATAGTTGGTAGTTTTATTATGGTTTATTGTGTTGTATTGCAGGGTGTGCCTCACATTTCACCTCTGATAATTGTAGGCCTGTATTGTGTCCATATGCTAGCTTGGTCCTGTGTTATGTAGCTCATATTTGCCAAACTGTTTATACTATGAGGACCTTAATTCAGGGATCCTGGTGATTGAATTAACATATAACAAAAGGGTAACTAACATGTGGTATTTAAAAAAGTGTTGCACTTAAGTAAACCGTGTTATCGGTACTCTTCTACCCTTCCAGTCCCGAAAGTGATGCATTTATTTGCATTTGCTGACTTGTTCATTTGTCTCCGCTGCAGGATGAGGACATCTCATGTTTCAGAGACATCAAACCTGGAGCTCCCCATCATTACCTTGTCGTTCCAACCAAACATATAGGGAACTGTAAATCACTCAGCAAGGAGCATGTGCCTTTGGGTAATGTTTAAACTACATGCCGCATGACTGATGCTTGTGGAAATGATTGCATTTTGACAAATTGCCAACTTCAATGTCACTGACAATTCATTGCTAAGTAATCCTGTGGACTAAAACGTGTATTTTGTGTTGCCTGGTGCCAATTGTATTATAAAAAAGCAACTTGTTTTTGTTGTCATACCCAGTGAAGCGGATGGTCGAGTTGGGGAAGGAGATCCTCCAGAAAAACAACGTAACGGACCTCAGTGATGTCAGGTGAGCTACATCCAGTGGTGCATTTTGTAGTTCACAGCTCATCACGCTAGAAATTAGTGGCTCAGGAATGTAAGTGCTACAATGTGAATACTACAAAGGGAATGACTTCAAACATTTTCAGCAAAGCAGCTTTTGTCAGCTGAGGTCAAGGCCCAGGTCAGTTTTTCTGTCAGCAAATAGTGAAGCATTATTTCGAGGTCCCTTTTAAAATGAATCAACACTATGCCTGTCTAGACAGACGAGCAAGGAAACAATCTTCAGTTATGCCAGGTACTTATTGGTAGTATACTTGTTATCAGTACACATCACAGTACCAGTGTAAACTACACTATGAACTGTATTTACCTGGAGAACAGTAGGTCTTACTTAGTCCAATGGAAATTGATAATCTTCTAAACTGCTGTGTAATTGTTAATGACTGATTTGATAACACATCTGTTGCTTTCTTGATGTAAGTGGCACTTAAACTGAGTTAGCTTTTAAAACTTTCCATATATTTCAAGCAGTGAACCTGTGTGCACTGAAGCCCTTTCCCTTGTCTGCAGGTTCGGTTTCCACTGGCCCCCATTCTCTTCTGTCACACACCTACACCTTCATGTCCTGGCACCTGCCAGTCAAATGAGCCTCATGTCTCGCGTCTTCTACAGACTCAACTCCTATTGGTTTATCGCGGTAAACCCCCTCTTTATTATACGTTCTGTGCTCCAGAACAAAGCATTCTATTGTATATAATTTGAGGATTAGTAAAAGGAAAATAATCCCTTCTCAATCCCTGATTTGTGCATCATCAGGCCACATCTAAGCAAAATAGGTTGACTTTTTTCTTTTTTGCAGGCGGACCAGCTGATTGAGCTTCTTAACTCTAAAGGAGAGACCACCTGATCACTTGTTTGGATCCAGTTCTCTCAGTACATGACTTTGATGTGACTGAAACATCCACCTTCCACACTCTCCAATTAAGATGCGGTCTGAGCTAATGACCCAACATTCTAAACTGGTGATATATTTGCAACAAGACACTACTTTTCAGACTTGAATAAAGCTAAATCTTTTTTTTTTTGCTACTTGAGACATGTCCCACCAATGTTTGTTTTTATAGAAGAAAATAATTTTTCCATTAATCCACCATATAAAAAAATGCATTTACTTTATGGACCAATAGCATATGGTGTGATTCACCTGTTTTCATCTGTTGATCACCTTTTTACTGAATGGAAAGGTGAGTCCAACAATAGATAGCCCATATAATGCACAAGCTGTCGTATTCCCTGAATGGAGTGCTGCCTTAGAGTTTTGCCAATCTGATTTATGCATGTGTAACTGACATTATTTTAAAAACTCTGGAAGAAAAACGAATTTGTGTAATTGATATAATGACATATGTTAACTAGCTGAGTCTATGTTGAGTTGTCTCTTTCCTGATGGGCATTTTGTGGCCTAGCTGAAGTGGGTCAAAGCTCAGAGTAACACTTTCATGAAGGATTTACAAAGCTCCTTCACAGTAGAAGCGGCTAAGTGATCCTCTGACATGTGCATTAAGTGAAGTATGCTTTATCAGCTCAATAGGCACAGAAATATAGTGGGGTATTTGCAATGTATGACATGAACGGTATGGTGCATGAAGTGAATATTTATGCTATACGATACAACTGTACACTAAGGAATGAAAAGAAAGAACTGTACTGTATGAAAGTGTATGTACTTTAAGAATTAATTTAACTTAGAATAAATAATACATTGCTGCTTCTCCGTGTGTGCCTAATGTAGTGAGTCCTAGATATCAGTTTACACTCTTTCCCAGTCATTAGTTTAACTACTCCAGTCAGTGCTTACAGTTCACAAAGCACCCGCAGCAACACAATAACAGACAAGATGTTACTTTCTTTCTTTATTTTAATACCACAAGCAGTACTTGCTAATTGAATAATCAACTTTTTAAAGCTAAAAAACGTTCATTAGTTTGCATGGCCATTACTTTTAAGGGCAGCAGATGTTATGGCATATATTAGTCAGCACACAGTTTACTGTGTAGTTCTCATTTCATTAAAGCAGCATTTTGTGTTTATTGTAGATGTGACTTAGTGTGGTGCAGGTAAACATAGTTTCAAACTGTAACAAGGTGACCTAAACTACAAAGCACATTTGTAATGCTGTGACGCAGCCAAGCCAACTCGGATCAAGTTCATCCTATAGCCCCATATTGTCTGTCACAGGCAGCCTCGTGTTCTCTTTGGCTTTGGTTCAGACTCATTAACCACTCTGACTTCATTTCAGCTGCTCACTCCGCCACTTCTCCCACATTACAAAGCGAGCGAAGGAAATATAGGGAAAGGGATTCGTTCGGCTAAGATCTGATTTAGCGAGATAATAAAATAATGTAAACAACCTAGTCACCCTGAGAAACACAAGGTTTAACTCCCCCAACGAATAGTATTTCTGTCGTATCTCTATTGTTGAGTTTCAACCTCAGATCAATGTTTCTCTTTATTTGTGCTTAAGATTTAGCTTTGCATATCCTGATTTAATTTCCTTCGACATGTTACTTTATTATTATTTGTCTGATGCATCTGCATTTTAGGTACAAACAGTTTGGCCTTTTTTGAGTGCTATTAATAGCTTTTAAAACTCATGAATCCACATGCAGATGTCCTCTTTTTGTTGCTGACAAATGCTGCCACTTGTCATTTCCCCTGGTAAGACCCAAACTTGTAAAAGTGTTTGTAATTGTGACCTAAGTATTTCATGCCATTTCTTCAGGTTTTTCTATTTGCACTTTGGACAGTTTTAGTTTTTAACTCTTTGTGATTAGTGATTCAATTGATTATGTGTTTTTTATCACAAGGAGAAAATACATTAGTATGGCTAATGTACACTCCTCAGGGAGGTGATGTGAATTATCAGCTACGTAAGTTTTTACTTTTGTAAGGAAGAAAAACTATTATGTGACTATATGTGACTAAAGTACAATGAGTGCTATCCCCCTGCTATCTGAATACCACAGTGAGTGCTGCCATGAAGGAGCTCTATATTGCCACTGCATGTACTGCATGTAACATGAATCAAGGCATAAACACTAATCCAAGTTTGTGATCACTGCAACAGAGTGATAACTGCATGGTCGTCCTTCCCCTGCCACAGCATTTCTCCCTCAAAGTCAACCAGCCCCTGCTTCCTCGCTCGTAGAAGAATCCCCACTAGTTTATTAGAGATCGTCACATAATGCTCAAACAGTTTCCCGAATTCCACAGTGATGACTCTCCCATCGCTACTTCTTCCATCCCCATCTTTGTCTCCAGGTTGTCCGATGTTTCTTATCACCTCACACAGCTCCTCAACCTCTCTGCTGACGTGTGTGTGAGCATCCTTCCCTCGCTGCTCCGTCACGGACCCCTGCAGGGGTCTCCCGTAATCATCCTGCCCCCTCTGAGGGACCACCACACTGGGTCTGGTGTCCTGACTGAAGGGGTTGTGCTTCTGGTACTCCCGGTGCTCATCGGACCACTTCTGCCAGTTTTCCTTTAAGCCTTTCACAGAAACAATGCACGCAGCAGTGTCATCGCTAAACTGAGCAGGATCAGGGATGTCATCCTCAGTTTCCATGATGCTGCTCTGGCTGTTCGTCCCCATCACTCTATGTTGAGGAGATCACATAGCTTTAATTGGTAATTTCTACATGCAGGAATGCAATGTTGTTCTCCTTGAATAATATCCCTTTACCGTTTTTATTGCTTTATTATTTAAATAATAACTACCGAAAATGATCTCTGGGTATTGAGCTAAACGTTATATTTCATCTAATCATAGTTGTCCTGTCCTGCATGTGGACTGTTTTTCTGATTTAGCTGTAGAGATCTGTATATGGTAACTGATGACTGAGGCCACAATCTGAATAACTAATTAAGTTGACAATTCATAAAAAATAATGAAAAGCGAAAATATAGTTTAACAAAATCAATATCGGTAAATCAAAACTAGAAGAAGTGAACACACTGCTTTGGAAAGTAATTACACAACCCTACAGACATTTCTAGTAAACAATTATTAAACATGATCGAACTTACACGCTGCACACGGATTCGATCCTCACTTCATCTGCATTAATGTTTCATTGTTGCCAAAGTGGAGAAAAAAAAATCATTTGATTACACTGTTACTATGCAGAACTACTTCACAATACAGTCCTGCAGCACTGCTGACAGCAGCAAGAGTGCGGATGCTTTTCCGTCCAAAGACAAAACTGCTGTGATGGACATCTGTCTCGGCCAATGGCCTGTTAGAAGAGATCTGGGCAGCCAATCACTGATCAGAGAGGGAGGCTCTGACAAGGTGCCGGTGAAGCAAAGCAGATTACAGCCTTGAGAGGTGAGAGGAGTTTATCCTTGCACGTAAGAGCACGTAAAAGCAGAGATAAAGTTGCTTATTAATGACATGTTATTCTTTTAGTGAATACAAACGAACAATAATTAGCTGTACAAAAATGAAAGATAATATCATTCTTCTCCATTTATGGTAATTTGCTCCCCAAGCGGAACTACTTCACAGCCCGGTTTCAAGCCGGACGTATTTTGAATCCGCAACAAATATGGCGACCTCCACCAGTCGATCATGCCTCCAGTACCTCTTGCATCTTGCCCAAGATAATCTGGATTTCAGATTGCCGGTAACCTTCATGAACTACTATCAGTTTCTGTCTGGCTCTTGTTGTGAATGTTTAAATTTAATTCGTGAAATTTGGCAGATAAGACTCCCTCCTCCCGCTGCGTTAGCTACGTGCTAATTCAAACTGTCAAAACGGAGTGGATACATTCAGGCTTTGGTTTCACGTGACAATTTACCGATGTTTTATCACATGATAATAACAACACAATACCACTTAATTTATCCACCTGTACCTCCATCGACCTGGTGATAAACTGGTAGTTAACACTTGTCTGATCTCTAGCTTCTTTTTTATCATACATATAACCACGTGAATAGGACCCATGCTTGTTAGCACACATGGACCTGTGGACATGCATTATAAATACATTATAGACTGTTTCAACGGAATTGCATTGCTAGGCAACAGCTTGGGTCCATATATACTTCCTGTCAGCTGATGGCATTCACCTACACTGCAACAGGAAATAAACTGGGACACATGGCATGTTTATATTTACATTTACTATGAAATGGCCTATTTTTAGGTTTAAACTGCAGTAATCGCACACTTGTTAATAAGCTGAATCATGTTCACTTGTTTTTAAATGTGATCCTGTCGCATCTTAATCATCTTACAAGGATCCGCACTGATTTGACACATGAAGATGAATTTATTTTTCATGTGAAGTACTGCTCAGTCTGTGAAAACAAGACTATAATCATGCATATGATGGGTTTTTTGTGATTTATGTGCTCATTCACGCAGGAGATTAAGGCCTTGCTCGCTCTCAGAGGAAAACCATTCCAACCGAGTGGAAACTTCCAAGAAAAGGTTTCCAAGTCAAATGCACTCCTTTCAAAACTTGTCCTATTTACCCAACTGCTGTATAATAAAATGTTTGGCTCTAATTATTGCTGATTTGATAGCGACCTCATCAGAAGGTTTCTGTTCCACAAAGTAACTAATATTCTTGCCTCTTGTCTGTAGACTCCTTTCTGGTGTCTGGATGGTTTGTCCGAGGGGGATATCTGCGGCGTCATGGCCAGATCTGTTTGTGCAAAGTAAGTGTTTTAGCTTTGGGGGGAAGGTAGGCGATGGCCTTAACATGCTGCATATATTCCCGTCCATTTAAATCTGTGCCTCCTTGCTTTGGTAGTATTTCTCTACTACAGTGGCTGAAATAATGCTGTAGGTTCATGTTGCATTACCCTTGCAGGTCTGCTTTTGAACTTTGGGGCCATGGACAAACACACAGTGAACTCAGAACATCCCTCTTGAACTACCCATCAGAGAACATGGTTTGTGATGCTACTGTTTATAGTCATATTGCGTTGGGACAGACCAATCACTGCAATTCTGGAAAGTATTTTCATATGAAACATACAGAGTCTAAGCTTGTCTGTCAAATTTCTGTTTGTGCTCTTCCTCCTCATTCCCCTACAGTCACCATTCATGCACAAAGACTCAACTTACAGAATCAATGTCTACACTTTCAACAAGACTCTGGAGTTTGCAGACAGAATCAAAAGGATTGATGTGAGCAGAATGCAGATCAACGAATGAATGAGCTGATGTGAAAACATCGAAATGTGTGCGTATGCCCTCTTTGAACGATCCGTATCCTCCCACCAGGCTATGGAGTATCTTCCGTTTGAAGGAGCGGTGAGCCTGAAGAGCCCACAGCACATCTTCTGTTTGTTGGAAGACTACGGCACCGACCCCAACGACATCCCTGAGCACCCAAACTACATCTATTTCGGCCGATGGGTGAGATACATTTGACTGTTTGTTTACATTTGAAAAATAAAGAGGTGATCTGCAACTTTTCATCTTTACACACTCCTGCACCAGATAGCGGATGGACAACGTGAACTGATCCGCTCTCACAGTGTGAAGAACAGACACTTCATAGGGAACACCAGTATGGATGCTGGGCTCTCATTCATTATGGCCAACCACGCTAAGGTCAATGAGAATGACCTCGTCTTTGACCCGTTTGTTGGCACAGGTGAGAAAATCCTGTCGCTGACTCTCACTCACTCACATACATAGAATATAGCATAGACGGTCACACACTTAAATGGGTCTTTGTCTCTTGATCTGTTTTAGGGAGCCTGCTGGTAGCATGTTCTCACTTTAGAGCCTACGTTTGCGGAACGGATATCGATTACAACACTATTCATGGCAGAGGTAAATTTAGTCTACTTAAGTTAGGATTGTGGCTTTAGTTTATACTTAAGTTCTGTTTTAATCCGAGTTTACGAATATTGCTTCTAGTCATGTCTGTGTTCAGAACCAACAGCGGCAGGAGCCTGCTTTGAATTTCAGACACTATCCAAATGTCCTGAAAGTGCTGTTGTCTGTCAGGTCGTTCAAGCCGTACAAACCAGATGTGGCGCGGACCTGATGAGAACATCAGAGCCAACCTGCGGCAGTATGGAACAGAGGAGATGTATTTAGATGTAATGGTGTCTGATGCTTCCAAACCTGTGTGGAGGGAGGCAGCTCTGTTTGATGCCATCATTACTGATCGTAAGTCCTAAGTTCATTCTTAACAGGCTGTTAGCACTTGTCATACATGTGTCTATAGCTTTTGTGATTCTTGCAGGTCCCTTTTAAAACAAATTTCACTGAAGCAGCAAATGTGTGCACCAGCTACATCTGTGCAGTCTATTGCATTAATCTCATAATAGGATCATCTTTGTCCTTTGTCTTTCTTGTTCGTGGTTCTTGTTGTGGTGCTTCTGACATCAGCTCCGTACGGTATCAGAGAGTCCACGAGGAGAACGGGCTCCCACAAAGATGTTACGAAACCCCCTGACGGCATGTAAGTACGACACTCTATGACTTCATGACAAAATGTCATTTGTGCAGTAGGGTCATATTTTATTCTACCCTCTGCAGGTATCATTATATGTTCTCAGTAACATAGCCCGATTAGGTGAAAATCCTTTGAAATGTTTTGTTTGTTATGTTAAATATTGTGTCTGTTGCTCTGGTCTAAACCTGTTTGTGTTGATTTGATTATTCCAGCTATACAGAGTCTCACGTCCCTGTCTCACAGGCGTACCACCTGAGTGACATCTTCACAGATCTGTTAAACTTCTCTGCCCACCACCTGGTCTTGGGTGGGAGGCTTGTCTATTGGCTGCCTGTCTACAGACCAGAGTGAGTATACATATGTATTGTACTGTGTCATTAGCTGATAATATAAAGGTCTTTTAATATGCTGAGTCTGCTGCTACAGATACTATTTCAAGAAACTTCAGCCTCTCACAGTAACATCCAGTTCTTTAAAGAGTACTGATTTCTGTTATTTGAGCAGTCAAACTGGGTCTGTGACTTTCATTGTTGTTGTTGTTGTTTAAGAACAGGCTTCGTGCATGAAGATTTATATTTCAACACTAGATTTGAAGTGAACGTTGTCCTCATTGGCTTATATTAGGAACCCCTTTTACTGGTGCTTCTTCAATTAATAATTTGTATCAATAGGGGGCAGGCTCAAACCATAAACCAGAACTGCACAATGTAGGCTTGTCCCACCCAATAAATAAACCTACATTTAAATCTTTTGTTGGCCTAATTAATTGCCTAGTTCCCAAACAACTTGAAGCAAAGCATACTTTATAATGTTAACACTATAATGTAAACCTTTTATAAAATGTAATTATGGCAATTAAATTAGTAGATAAGTTGTGAAGAAGTGTAACTGTAGCACAAACAGTCGGAAATGTCTGTTTTGTTAATCAGTTGAATATTAACAAATTAGTTTATGAGCTGCTAAATGCTTTTAAAACCTCGGGTTGTGTAGAATTTCCCCGTAGCACTATTCCATTCCCGCTCCTATAAAACGTCATCCTGCGGGTGTAACCACCTGTATGAATGACAGTGTTTATACAGAATAGTATACAGGTGTGTTGAGGTTTTCCCACTCAAACAGCTGGGCCACAGTAAACCACAAAGGGCTTATACTATACAAGACGGCTCTTCTGAAACAGTTGTGCATTGTCTAATGTTTTGTGCACTAGCAGAAAGTGAAGTGCTGAGTCGAAGTGCAGGTGTTTAACTGTAAAGGTATGCACCACAACAGACAGCGGCAGCAACGGTAGTTTGGGAAAGAAAAACCCTGCAGGCCTGCAACTCCTTCTGGTCACTGATTATACGACCGGCGAAGAGATGAGATGATCACGCATCCTCTGGTTTTTATATGTCTGTCTGTGAATGTGTGTGAGTGAAAGAACAAACACAAAAGCAAACCTTTGCTCAGGTCCCCCTGTGTGTGTGTGTGTGTGTGTGTACATGCATCCGTACATATGCATGAATGTGTGTGGTCTTGTGTATGAGCCCATGCATACATGTGTGTCATCATGTTCACACATTTGTCTTTGCTACTCATCTACCGGCGCTTGACTCTGTGCCTGCCAGAGCGCCGTGCCAAAATAAACGCCTGAGGTCGGGCAAGTCAGATATTTGAACTATCTGTCTCTGTAGGCTGTTTGACCTGTGTGTGCGTGTGTTTCTGTGTACAATCACACGTAAGTCTGTGTGTGTTATCCCAGACGTAGCCTGTCTCTTGGGCCTAATCTGGGGCTCTACAGGGGCGATATCGTGTTTCTGTCACCCCCACATACAGTATTGTGTGCATCTGCGTCCATGGCTTTGATAGAAACAGTTGGGATTGTGTGTGTCTGCCTGCTCCATGAGAATAGGGAGACTGTGTGTGTGTGTGTGTGTGTGTGTGTGTGTGTGTGTGTGTGATGATGACAGGTGACACACAGTCCTCAGCAAAAGACGGCGTCTAGACCACGTTTGACCCCTTAAGTATCTCCCCTTAAAAAATAAATGGAGGAGGAAAACGTACCAAGACAGATGGTGGAATATCAGTCATCACAGCCATTAAGTGTCCTAATTACAACATAAACATAAGTGAGGAGAAGAAACAAAGTGGCTGTATTGTCAGAAGTAAGGGGATACGTAGAAATGAGTAGGCATGAGACATGTTTTCATTTGCAGGTCATCATTTTTTACTCCAGTGTAAATTTCTTGACATTTTCTCTCATTTAATGATGCCAGATCTTCTACTAGAGACAACTGTCCACTGCTTCTGCTTCAGCATCAGATTTAGCATACTGTGAAATTGGTGTCATACATTTGCTGGAATTTAAAATATTGAGTGAGAAATAATAATAATTTGGAAATGTATTTGATCCATTTTAAAAGGCAGAATGAGTACTGGTTTCCTTAAATGTATAGACTCCTAAATAATACCTCTCAATCCTCACTTATGACCCATTTGTAGGGTGTGGCGGTGTTTACAGAGACCCTGTCCTCTTCTTGCATTTCCTCTCTTTTTATTGTTCTGTGTTTGTGATGTTTGTGATCTACAAAAACGTAGCAACCAGGTGCCAGATTGTAAGCACGCACTTAAGAGGAGGGGCCAACTTTGAAGGCTTGAAGTTTGCAAACCGACAAATCAAACTCGTTGTACAATCGTACGTTTAACTTTTTAGCCAATCAAAATGCATCATCATGGCAAAAACTAAAAAATTGTTTCAGCTAGTGTGGTCGTGTCTCGATGGTTACCCACAAGTTGCAAAAAGACTCGCTGCCCATCGACTCAAAGACGACCCCTACCTTCACTTGGACATTAAAACTAGCTCGGGCTCTCCACTAGGGACCCCTGATTGGCAGCAGAGAATGATCACCTTACTACATCACCGTTAGTCACCCTGACGACCAAACATCCCGTCGCCGCAGAGGTCCACATGTGGTCATGACAACGGGGCAGACAAACAGTGACGCGTAAATCTGTCTTTGAGTCGGACTGTTGCTACTTTGACGGCGGTTAGGAGAAAGTGCTACTGACACAAATATGCAAACACATACATCATCCACTGTTAATAGGCCCTAACCTGGCCTGGCTAGTGATGACAGAGCCAGCAGTCGACCTGTCAGGTCAGAGTCACTTTTTCCACCTTCATCTTTGCACAGAATGAGCTACGGCAGTTTTACCAGCCGTGGTTACACTGCGCTGGTAGAATATTTAGTGATTTGATAGGTGAGAAAGAAACAGAAAAGGGTATGAAGGGAGAAAGGAAAGACACTGGAACGGGTATCATTTTGACAGGATTAGCCTCTGTCTGTATCCCAGCAGGCTGTTTTATGGCCTCCAGATATTAGTAAAGATAATAGAAAGCGCATTGGTTTCACCAGGGCCTTAAACATTCCTCTCATTCAGCTCTTTAGGTTTAAATGGAGTTTCTCTACCTCCGTCTTTCTGTCTTTCCGTTCCCGACGTGTAACTACGAGTGTGAATGTGTCCTCTTTTCAGGTACCGTGAGGAGATGGTGCCGCTTCACCCATGTCTCCGTCTCATCAGTAACTGTGAGCAGACACTCTCCAGCCACACCTCACGACGCCTGATCACCATGGTGAAGATCAAGAAGCCTGAGGTGGGTTTCTCCTATATAAGAATTTATTTTATATTAAATATTTTAGTCAACTGAATACCTTAGAACAGTCTGTTGGTTGGATTAAACAAGCAATTTCAGTAAGTCACCTTGGGCTTTGGGGGATTTAATACCTACTGTTTTCCTCCCTATTATAGACAAAATGATTGAGAAGAAATTGGCAGAATAAGTCTTTAGTTGCCATCCTAGTTTTCATGAAGGCCTGTGTTTGAGCTTGTAAGGTTTGAGGACATCCGGAGATGCAGGCTTATTTAAAAAAAAACCATAAATGTAATATTTTCTTGCATCGTTTGGTGTGTTATTTTAAAGGATTTAAATGTGCATTTTTCTTCTGATTCCTCTGATGTGGCTGTAAAGTTGACCATACCATCTAATTGTATGGATTATATTTAATTAGACGCACAACTTCCTCAATATATTGTTTTAAGTTATGTGTTGAATTTGCATTTTTTTTCAATAACACATCTTCACCGTACCAACCTGTATATGCTGCAGAATTAGTTTACTGTTTTAAATGAGACCACGTGTGTGACTGTCCTTTAATTTTTTTTTTTTTATCTGTAGTTCTTAATGTAAGCACATAATACTATGTACATTTGCATGACACAGCAAGTGTACATAGTATATGCATATGTGTATGTTTTTTACATGTCATCCCAATGGAAGTGATGGTGTCTCTCTGTCTGTCTGTGTTAAATCCTCAACATCTGGCTGTGATTGGCTCATTTCTTTTATACTGGAACTCTAAATGGCTTAATCACACATGTTATGGGAAATAATCCATCTTTGGATCTGAAATCCATTCCACTTCAAAAAAACAACAAATTGCTCCATAAAGGGCCCCGTATGACACGCACACACAGCTGTTTGATCTTATCTGACTGCTATCTGTCTCAGGTCGCAGAGTTTTCTCCTTTCCAAATAGGCCTCAATCTGCACCTATTGGCACTCGTTCATCAGGGTTCACAGCCTGGTGTGTGTGTGTGTGAGAACACCTAAATGTGTTTGTAAGCCTTTGATACATGCACACATGTCCACACTGTTTCTGTGTTTTGACAATAATGGGGCCAGCCTAATTGCTGTAAAACGCTTCCTGTTAAACTAGTGCAGAAAAACATCTCTGGAGCCTAATTTGTTCTTATTTTTTGGGTGTGACAACATGTGTTTGCTGGCCATAAATTACTTCTTATCCAAATTAGTTTGCCTGACTTTATTTCTACTGTTTTCAGTTGTTTGTAGTTAATTCCCTCTGCCCTTGTTCATTTGGGGGTCACGACTACGTTGTCAGTCTTGTTACCAAGAGTTTTCCTTCAGAGTAGTCATGGAAACTGTTTTCAGGTTACTTGGCAGCATAGGATAGCAAAAGAGAGGTGTTGCTGACAAATTACAGGCCAGCATCGGAGTCATCACTTCCAACTCGACTCACCTCATTATTCCTCTACCCAGCATCTCTCTTCCTCCCTTCATCCCTCCGTTGACCAGCAGCTACCTTACAGCCAAGACAAACTGTTTAACTGAAGAGATTCAGTTCATATACATTGTTAATATATACAGTCTCAGTCCTGATCCTTAATGCAATCATGGAAAAAGTATGCAAACCTTGTGATGCTAATATTATACCGACATGTAGTGGGGAGTTGTTTCATTGACTGGAAATATGGAAGAGCTGCTTCAACTTTTGCATCCAAATTACCTTTGTATTAATATGGTGTCATCAAATGTTTAGTCTCAGCACACACTGCATTTGAGCAGGACAAAGCATGAACAGGTAGCTCCAGACTTGTTTATTTATTCGTCACATTCTTTAACAAGCTGTGTGTTTGAATGGCAGAAGTTAAATAAATAAATATATTCCAGTTTGTATTCCACTACCTATAATGTTGCTAAATGCTCTAAGGAGTTCTCTCTGTTTTTTTTTTAATTGGGGGGGAAAACCGGCAGCACTTTTCGTCAGTTCACTACGATAACCTCTACATTTGTCTCCTTACAGGAATTTGACAGCCTGGCTCAACTTGCAGACACACATTTCAGTCCTTACCAGGGACACAACGCCTTCAGAGAAAAGTATTTCAGTGGACTAAACAAGAGGTGTGCCAAGGAGGACAACAAATCTGTTGTCAATGGAGAGTGACCGAATGGCCTGCCTCGAGGGGGAAGCGTGTGTCTTTATAGAATAGAAAAAGCAAGTGCACACAAGATTCAGAACGTGGCGCCCTGAAAGAGGGGAACGAACTGATCACTTATTTGTTACAGTTTTAATTTTTCTAAACTTTTCACATTATTTTAATTATGATTCTTTATATGCCTGTACTTATTGCTTTGCAAATAAATTGATAAAACAAGGGTCCTTTACTGAGTGCTGACTATTTAAACTACAGTTACTACACAGACAGTTGACTGCCTGAATGGGGGGGGGGGGGGGGGGGTTCCACTGCCAAGATGGAGACGGCTGGTGCCACTCACTTTAAGCTTCACAACGGCATCTTAGAACCCTATGGGTGACGTCACAGAGACTACAACCATGTTTTACACGAGAGGGTGCAGCTAAGTACAACAAAAGACGGAATAAGACATTTTTAGGCGACAAAAATATTGCGATTGACTCTCATAAACTGAAAACACACTGTAGGTTAAAGTTCTTGGACTAAAAGACGGACTCCACCCAAACTGGAGTGACCAGTCACTCACAAGGTAGCCACACCCTAAAGCATACACTGCTTTATTGTCTATTTTACTCTAAATGAGACCATCATTTGCTAGATGGACATCATTCTGTATTGAAGAAGACTTAAAACAAAGACTTGAAACAAAACTTTTCATTTTCTCATAGACTTCTATACAATCAGACTTCATTTTTCAACCAGAGGAGTCGCTCCCTGTTGGCTATTAGACAGAATGCAAGTTTAAGGCACTTCCGCATCGTCTACACTTTTCAGAACCCGAGGTTGCCGCCTGCTCGGTAGCAGAGCCCGTATAGAAACAGAATGTATAACTGCATCTAGAGCCACGACCCTGCTTTATTCAGACAAAGGCGGCATGTTTAGGTGAGAGAGGCCTCCCGGTGCAGGCGAGAGCCCAAATGACAGTTCGTCCCCACGCCACACACCACTACGGTTAGTCAGCAGCTTTTGTTGTTTTCCAACCACAGTTGACATGCAGCCCGGCTCATTATTCATCTCCTGAGAGCGATGCAGCAGGCCTTTATGTACAGTACATTACCCCTTGGCTCTGTTTATCAGTTGGGCCTCTGCCTTTCCACCACACTTCCCCGTTCGCCCTGCTTCACAGGGAGAGAGTTCCAGGCACCATCACATGATACCCGGCTCACCATCGTTTGCGGTACTTGGTGTTTACAGTTCCCACAGTGCCCTTTTGTTGTATATCATCATCAAGCAAAATCAAATGATTCCACAAGACAGTTAGAGACTTCGACCTTTCTTTACTAGCCACTTCTGCCCTCTCTGCCCGGGCATTTCTTTGCATGTCACATGTAAATGAGTACCGTGTTTGCCACAACAGAAGACCCCTCTGTGTCGAAGATGGTAGTTTAAACGCAGTCACTGTATTACTGTGTTTGATGAGTGCTGCGTGTGTGTGTTTGCTCTGCCACAATACAGTGATAAACCGTGTTCTCAAGAGCCCTTGGTCTCCAATGATGCAGGCTATAATTAGGGAGGGGGTTGGGGGGGGGCTTCCTCTCTACAGCGCGTAATGCTGTCCAGACCTTGTGGAAATTCTGTTTGTGTGTGTGTATACATGTGTGTACTTGTAAGATCTGGTTTTGTTTTATGTTGGAAGCTAACTGCAGCAAAGCAGTTTCCTGGTGTAATTCAGTGGCACTAAAATGATTTGAGACCTAACCTGTAAAATACAGTAGACTATTGGTTTCGTCTGTCTTTTCGTCATAATTCTTCATTCCTTAATTGCCTTTTTACCATCATCTCTATTTATTTAATACTGTGTGAAAAAATTGAGATTTTTTTTTCACATTTATTAAGTTATATTTATACTAGCAGAGGCTCTATTCCTACTCCACTTTTCTTTTTCTCCCAAATACTTAATCACTCTCTGCCTCACCTCCACCAGTTCACCCAGCCTCCTCTTCCCCTCCTCACCTGCCTCACCTCTGCCCTCTCCTCCTCTCTCCTCTGTCATCTACAGGCCTCTCTTTTTCTCAAAGGGGAACTCCCTGTAGGAGGAGAGGGCCGCTGTTTTGGAACAATGGCTTCTGATTAAACTCCCCTCTGTCTCAAAGTGACAGAGGGGAGTCTTCAGACTGCTGAATCAGCTGGTATAATATGAGTGCCGTAAGATGCACACACACACACACACACACAACCAATATATAACTATAAAAAAACAACAAACATCAACTACTAGCCTTAAAAACAACCCATTGAAGAAGAGGACCAGTCAAAATGTCTGCACTAGCTGCACAAGATGTCAGACTTAATGTGAAATTCAATGTTTTCCCCCGTTATGTTATTACACCGAGCAACATTTTGGGAAATGGGTATGGGCACTGGTATTGGTACTGGTATCATCATTTCTTTAAATGATACCCAGCCCTAGTGTGTGAGTGCGAGAGAGAGAGACTTCATAGTGCACAGCTGGTATTCAGGAGTGTCCAAGTTTCTCACACACACACATGTACATGTGCGTGACTGACCATATGTGGCACAGGTGCAGTGCACCTGTCCGTAGCCTGGGGAGTTTAGACACCTGCAAGTCCTCCACCCCTTCTCGCCTTGCCGCCCCTGCCCTCAGGTCACCCCCCGGGGGTCCTGCCCTCATCCACCCCGGGAAGCCTTACGCAGCCCCTCAGTTGTTGATCGAGGTAAGGTGAGAGCTGTTATCTCAATGTCTGGGAGGAGAAGCACAGCGGAGCGAGAGCTATTATAGTGCAACAAATCACCACAGGAGTCCCACCTCACACAGCTGTGTGAAACTCAAACCATGCTCAGAGTAAAGAGGACGAGGAAGAGGAGAGAGGAGGGTAGTACATCTTGAGATTATAGGATTTCCGTACTATTTTACAATCAAGGATACAACTTTGTTGCATCTTTTTCAAGCATCATTAAATTCAGTGCCACTAGATGACAGCCTTGAGCAGAGGATGCAGTCAAAGTATTCCCCCAGCCCCCCCCAAAGTGATTCCCCTGGAGTTCCTGTGTGAGCTGTGTGTACACTGTACTACAGCCTACAGACTGTTTGCCATATAATCAATGCTGTTCAGTTTGTAAACAAACAGTTCAGGGGCTAAGCTTTTGAAGTGATAGAGCTGTGGTTGAGAAAGTGCAGAGCAGCCTCCGAACGCACAACATCCTCTTTATAGATACTCGCCTGGAAGTGGTGAGGGTTGTTGGCCCAGGAAGTAAAGGGGGTGACTGAACGGCTTGTCACACAACTTCCTCATCCTTCTTTCACCTATCCACGGCCCATTCACAGTGACCTTATTTAACTGTTTTGTCATCATGCGAGGTTATAGCATAGAGTTAAGCTTGAGGAAACTAAGCTACAGGCATGCATGCTTTACTTTCAATAAATCCCCAGACATCCCATTTTGTGGTTTGTGCATTTTGTTTTTCTGTCATTTTTCTAGCATAAGTCCTCCAGAGCTCCTCACACATGCATTGTTGATTTTCACTGTGTGCATGTGATTATGTGTATTTATGGGGTCGTCACACTTAGTATGACCGGAAAGAAGAGGGAAAAAAAGTGTTGGCAGAGAGCAGCGAGTAGCAAAAGCCAAAGACAAACAGTCAATGAGTGTATTTGGAAGTGTGTATTTGTGCCTTATTTTCTGTTTAGTTTATTGTGGGTTCTTGCGGTTGTCAGTGCTGTTCGTCATTAATGAAAATAAATCACTGGATGGCTCACTTACGCCCTTTTTTAATGACTCTTAACTGCCAAGTGGGTACAAACACGCACACACACAAACACACACACACACAAACAACATGGCAAACATGGTTGTAGTGACACATTTCCTCTTTGACTCATAAAGCGCTTATGTCTAACTGGACCTAATATAAGACACCGGTGGGGATGTACCATAGCCATTATGAGAGCATTTTTCATCAATTCATACTTTTTCCGTAACTTCCTGTTAAGGGACACTGGGAGCCTAACCCAGGATGCATTGAGCTGAAGGCATGGAAACAACCTGGACAGGTTACTAGTCTGTCCTAGAGCAAATACAGACACACACCCTCACGCTGACATTCACACTAATGAGCAAATTTGAGGCTCCAGTCCCACCAGACTTTCATGTTTTTGCAAAGCGGGAGGAAACTTTAGCTGCCAAAGGAAATTTCTGAACACAGGAAGAACACCACAAAAAGGAAATATTAACATCCTCTGAGCTTAACATGATATATCTAGTTTGCAGCCGTATATAGAACCTCCCCTCTGCATTATATGCCCATAGTTTCTTTTATACTCCATTATGCAAAAGTACCAGTAGTATTACTCCATTTCTTTTTATTCCTGAAGTCCCTTCTTTATCTCTTCCACCTTCAGCCCATGTTGCACGCTCCCTGCATCCCCCGCATCTTTCCTCTCCATGAGAAAGTACATCTTTCGAGATGAGCTGCTCAGCCTCTCAACAGCGGAGAGTGCTGGTCTGCGCTGGGTTTGAATTTCAGCGATGCACCTCAGTGCCTCTTGAGAGGGTCTGATTGAGGTGTAGGGGTACAGTGTGTGTATACTACAGGCGGTTGTGTGTAGATATGAACTTGTGCCGATCACACCGACCACTCTCACGGCTGTGTAGCTGAGTGGAATGTGTGGTCCATGGGGGTGTTTGTTAGTCAGGGCCAGGATACACGCATGATGCTCTGGGACCCGCGGAGACTATCGCACCCCTATCACTGCCGGGTGAAATTGTGAGGGGCCTCCTGGCTACCATCACACTCACACCTCTCCCTTCTGAGGTGAGGAGGAGCCCAGCTCACCTGCATGCCTGGCTGTGCTTCTCTGTCGGCGTATGTCCATCTATACTGTGTTGATTTTGTTTATTTTTGTCGAAACCACGCTTTCTCTCTCACTTTGACGTTTTGCTTTTGTCTTGAGCCTTATTTACATTAAACTGTCCAGCAGTGACATCAAGTGATATTAGAAATCTTTCAATAAAAGTTCTGTCATCGAACTTGATATTAAAGAAACTGTCCGTCCGTTAAATGAAGCGATGGGCAGGATATGGTTAGCTTATAAATATATAGCATCTATAAAGCTCTCTAATCAACATGTTATATTTTGTGTGTTGAATTGGTGCAAAAAACGAAATGTAAAAAGGTAAATTTGTGGCGCTACATGTGCCGACAGTTCCGTGTTCA